TTTATATGGAGATAAACAAGTAGCAGTCTTTGCACAAAAAGGGGAACTGTGTTACCTCCTTTTGAGAGAAGTTATTTCAGTTCAATATAAAAGGCTTTGAGCTCGAGATCAGTATTTTTTGGTCATAGGATCTGGAATTAAGTGGCATTTGGTGGTCTGTCAGAAGATTGACTGGCGGAGAGTACTGTTTCTCAATCCCCTCATTAGCTTAGGGATGCCTTGGATTGAAATTTTTCCAAGTTTTGACTATTATGCTTGACTGATGCCCGAGAATCTTTGAGCCATGTGGTGTACTTTAGGGGAGGGTGCTTTTGGAAGGAAATTATGTAGTTTAGAAAAGAGGACTTTGTTTGCGCTATTTCTAGAGGAAACAAGGTCTCTCTGACAGAGGGAATAACACTGTACTTCTATTCTAAAAGCAATTAAGGAAAGATAGAGGAGATACTTACATTTCAGAGGGATCTGGGCCTGTGACTAGGTAGGAGGCGATAGGTAAATAGGACCTGCTTAGCCTGAAAGAGAACAACTAGCAATAGTTAATGCTGCAAGGACGGGGGGGAGAGATGCTAATGCAAAACAGTTGAATGTTTGGAATGTGAGAAACTTGTTGGCTCGTTGAATTTAGATTTCCTTGTAATTCCAATGGCTAAAGCAATGAGCTTAATTATGAGTTCAAGATTGGATGGTAGTCATATTGCATAACATTTTGGAACATAACTCCGTAGAAGGATTAGGGAAAATGTTTGGTGATGGAAAGAATAGATTTTTTGAAATTAATTATCAAATCCTGTGGCCTATTTATGGACTTTATAATGCATACCTACATATGTAGTTAATTTCTTCTCAAAACTGTTGTTTCAATCTAAATAATCATTTTGCTTATATAATGCCGTATTAATCTACTTGAGATGGTTCTTTGTTGCATGTTCCAATTCAAATCATTGTCTAAAATTGATTGAATATCTACTGATGATTTACTTGGCTTATAATCTCAGGATCATGGAAGTGTGGTCAAAGCTGTTTACACAGGAAGTGAGTTCTTGGATAGTACTATTCCTCATGAGGAAGTTGGCATTATCCTGGAAACCACTAGTTTTTATGCTGAGCAAGGTGGTCAGGTAATTATTTGCTTTGTTTTCAACCTGCAATACATAATCCTGAGTGATTGGTAAATTCTGTATATTTACCTTTTAGCATCTAGAAAAAATGAGCTTTACGGAGGAAATGGATCTGATAATGAAGAAATTGCTTGTCTTTGGAAGTTGCATTGTAACTACATATAAATAATTTATTTTTCTTCATTAGTTAAATGAACTATGCATCATGATAAATTGTACTGGACAAATTTATAAATTTCAATAAATTTTTCATCTATATTATTTGGTCAGTGTCACCCACCCCATTGATATTTTCGCATGTCAAAAGTATATTTTAGCACCAGAGGTATTTGACTTATAATCTAAGTAGTAGGTTTTACAGATTAACCTATCGAAAAAGTATGTTTTACAGATCACACTAAATATTATTCTCTCCCTCTGTCTGTGTGTGCGCGTGCGCGTGAGAACATTCCTTTCTTGGAGTAGAGTGCTAGAATTGACTGCTCTTTGTCCTTGTAGATATATGATACTGGAGTACTTGAAGGCCTCAACGGAGTGTTTGAAGTTAGTAATGTTCAAATATATGGTGGATTTGTTGTTCACATTGGTTCTTTCAATGGGAAGATGGGCAGATTATCTGTTGGTGATAAAGTAATTTGTAAGGTGACTTTTCTTTTACATAAAACCTCATTCTTACATGCCTGTTCATTCTTTTCTATATGCATACATATTGGTTGCATTTTCATATCATTGATTCGATTTTCTTCTGAGCTCAACAGGTCAACTATGAGAGGCGCAAGCTGATAGCTCCAAATCATACTTGTACACACATGTTAAATTTTGCTCTAAGGGTAGTGATCTTATATGAGATTTTTCTGCCAACTTGCTAGCACCCAATCTTGACGCTCTATTATTTATTTCTCTGGTTAATATCTGAATGCTTCGATATAACTGCAGGAGGTACTTGGTAATCATGTTGACCAGAAAGGTTCCATCGTTCTTCCTGAGAAATTGAGATTTGATTTTTCTCATGGTGAGTTTATGTGGTGTTTGTTTAAATAGATTTCAGAAGGCTATTCAAACGCTATTTGAATTCTACAGGGAAGCCTGTAAAGCCGGAGGATCTGAGGAAAATTGAGACAATTGTGAATGAACAAATTAAGGATGAATTGGATGTTTTCTCAAAAGAAACTAGGCTGGCTGATGCAAAGAGGGTCAATGGTCTAAGAGCTGTTTTCGGAGAGGTGATTATCTTTTTCCTGTTATACTGTATAGTTGTTTCAGACATGGGAGCATTTCACATGATTGTGCTACCTGTAAACGCTGTTCACCATGGGTTTCTTCTTATTGATATAGGTATATCCTGATCCAGTTAGAGTTGTCTCAATTGGTCGAAAAGTGGAAGATCTCCTTGCTAATCCTGAAAATAAAGAATGGTTATCTATATCTGCAGAGCTCTGTGGGGGTATATATCACTTCGTAAATCACATTGCTCTCTATCAGTGCCTTTATATAGCTAAAGTCATATATGCACTATTGCAGGGACCCATATATCAAATACCAGAGAAGCTAAGGCGTTTGCTCTCTTGTCTGAGGAAGGAATTGCTAAAGGTATCCGTAGAGTTACTGCAGTTACCACAGGCTATGCTTTTAAAGCAATGGAATTGGCATCCTCGCTTGAGCAAGAAGTAAATGACGCATCCAAGACTGAAGGAAGCATTCTGGAGCAGGTTATTCCATTTACACGTCAATCCTTTATAAGCAACAACTTTTTATTAGGGTAAATATGTAGAATTGTTGATGGAAACTCACTTTTTGTTAAAATTTTGGACTTGAAAATATGTATTACCTCCATATCCAGTTTTTGTGCTATAGAATTTTCTTTTGACATGGGGTTATACCCACTTCCTCTAGCAATATAATAATTCCAGTCACAGTGTTCTTGACATGTAGAATTCTTAGTTTTTGGAGGCTTTCTTCCACATTCATGCCTTTGCCATACGTTTCTACACATGAACAGTAAATTATAAAAATATGCATGTAATATCAACATCATCATTGTTTTGCAATATATCATCATAACCACCATCAGATGGTCTGTTAATTTGGTAGTGGAATTTGTTCCATAATTCTTTTCTCTTTTCAAATATTGGTTTTTTCAAAAAAATATTATGTGCCGATATAATAAGAGAATTTCCTTTCCCTGATTCTAGAAAGTAACTTCTTTAAATAGCCGAGTGGAAGGAGCATCTATTCCATCTGCTAAGAAAGCTGATCTCAAGGGAAAACTCTCTGTGCTTCAGGTACGTATAATGTTGTATTTAAGACCTATTTCACTCATATTGTGCACGAGAATAGTGTGTGGGTGTGAATGTATTCCTTGATAAATTCTAGGATGCTGTGTTTGGTCCAAAGGGTATCCAAATCCTCCTTTGTATTACGTGTTGATGTTGTACCCTTTTTCAAAGGGTCATAAATAAATACAGCATATTGATTTTATGTCATTAGCGACTAAAGTGGAGAGACAAAATGGGGTAAATAATAGGGAACTAAAATATGAAAAACTGAAAGAATATTGTGTTTGACAGAATCAAGTGATAAAAGCCAAAAAGAAGATTGGGGAAGAGAATATACAGAAAGCCATTAAGGCTGCCACTGAAATGGCTGAAGTTGCTTCATCGAACGGAAAGGCATACTGCATTGCACATGTCAATGTTGGTACTGATACTTCTGCACTTCGTGAGGCAGTTGTTGACGTCATGGAGAAGAAGGTTAATTGAATTTTCTTTGCTTGTTAAATTTTTAGTCACATGTGTTTAGATGCTGGATTTTCTTTAAAATGCAATTCACGGTTGTTTTGCTTTGGTGAGAAGGGAATGGCAGTTATGGTCTTCAGCAAAGATGAAAATGTGAACAAGGCTTTAGTCTGCGCTGGGGTACCAGAGCAAGGCGGTAAATACGGTGAGTTAAATGTGAAAGACTGGTTGAAGCAAGCTTTGGACCCCATAAAAGGAAAGGGTGGCGGAGGGAAAGGCGGGCTTGCTCAAGGCCAGGTAACAATTTTTATTATGATTTTTTCGTCAATTTTTGCAGTCAGCATTTAGAAGATCTGAAGTGGCATGCATTTTGTCTAAAACAATTGCTCTGAACGTAAGCCGATACAATTAGCTTAGCTTTCAGAGCGCATTTTTCTACCGTTCTTTTTGAGGTGTTGAGTGGGTGTAATTATCTAAAAGTGAGTGCACTGTTTCCAAAATTAGCATGTATCTAAGATTTTTTCTCCCGTCTTTCAGGGAAGTGATGTATCTCGCATCCCGACTGCAATGGATTTGGCAGACTCATTTGCAGCATTGAAGTTGACTTCATAAAGATTTCTCACTTTGAACACAATTTCACACTTTGATTTATACAAAATTTGCTGATGAATTTTATGAACGTGTACCAGTTCAAACAAGAGGTGTGCCCGTGATGTTCTTTCCCTGCAGTTACAAGAAAAATGAAAAGAAATATGAATTATGCTCTCAATTTTATGTTTTGTGTGGAGTTCTGAATCCATTTCAACGAGTAACATTGTTTGACGGCTATAGCTCTCTGTACTTTCCATTTTACGTATTCTGAACGTATGAATCTCGGTACAAATGGACCTCTGTTGTTATATGTAAGAGTATTGATGCCAGTAAAAAATTGGAACTTACTTTTTGAAACTCAAAAGCATAACACATCTCGGAGTACTTGCTGAAATCCATGGAGTAAGATAATCTGAACCACCGACATTTGTCTGATCTATAACACTTTCAACCAGACAACACATTCCTACTCCAAATAGAAATTCTATAGCTCAACCTCCATGGCGTCTCATAGCTAGCATGAAACGTTTTGAAATTGAGAACTGCCGTAAGACGGTGAAAAAATATCAGCATTCACAAAATGCATTGGGATCAACCTCTCACAAGCTGAGATTACACCAAAAAATCCATTTTTATAGTTTATTACATCCATATTTATGTTTCTGAAGGAAAAACAGTGAACTACACTATAAGAATTTACAAATTTGGTAAAGGTTCAAACATTTCAACTCCGGCATTCAATTCCTTCACTGAGGCATGTTCACTTCTATCTTGCATTCAAATCTAACTCACCTGTTCCATGCCATGCAGTTTGCATGGCAGTATCTCCATTTTCGGTTTCCTCATCATTCAAGAAATCATCAGAAGGCTCCTTATCATCCTTGTGTGCATTGTTACTCCATCCATTCATCATCTCATCATGGTTGACATCCTGATCCTGCTCCCCCATCTCATGACCAATTGAAATATTACTGCCTTGAGAGCCAAGCGCATTTGCTCTTATTGGGGGCGCTCGAGTCATCATCTCAGCATGAGCAGCCATCCGCATATTGGCTTCATGAGTTTCTTGAGTTGCTTTCTGCCTTGAGTCCATTTCAGCCCTCAATTCAAGCAGTGCTCGTTTTTCCTCTTGCAACAGTAATTGCTCCATCATCAGTTTCTCCTCCGTCCGAAACTCCCCAAGGCCACGCTTGCGGGAAATTATATTAAACGCGAGGACTTGCTTCTCAAATGTGGCAGTAAACTCTGCAACTTTGGCAGCAATGTTGTTGTCCCACTGCTGGGAGCGAGAAAGCATTTGACCTGTTGTGTCAGAATCAAGGATCTTGTCATCCTCCTCTGCTTCATAGTCAGCTACCACATGGTAAGGTAATAGCCTAAACAAAATTTACATTAAAATTTAATTAGCTGCATGAGTACAAGTTCTAGTCTAAGATTTTCTTTAGCTAGCCAAATTAGTTTGGTGTGAAAGTTGACATATTCTAAATAAACAAACTTTGTCAACATGGTAAATTATGTCAGGGTGCCCAGTTCGTTAAAATATTGTTCATCTATTCACAGGATTCAGGTCAATATACTCTGTGTTTATCTAGCTGATAAATCCACAAAAGACTAGTAACTGAAACCCTATTTACTGCATGCATAGTATAACACACAGGGAGGGGAGCAAAAATCAGCCACTATCAACACATAAATTAGATTCATACGAAATCAAGAACAACATGCCCTGTGCTTCACCAAGGAATATTGGTAATAAATAATACATAAAGTACAAGTCATCAATAAAAAAGACTATTAACAAGCACTAATTGTGCTAGTTCCACCGTAATAATCAGGATGACTACAAAATAATTCGTAGTCAGTAATAGTTCATGGCAAGGAACAAGTCTATATAGTGCACAGCACATAGATGCTTAACTAAATAACTTGAGTGAGAAAAGGAAAGGATTATACTGCAATTTTGGGAAACAAAATGTTTAGACAGGACTGGCTGTATTGTCGAAAACGCTACCCAAAAACAAACACTTATTTTCTTTTATATAATTCAAAAAAAGACACAAATTGGTAAATTCTGTGCGTTCTGTGAAAACATAACCAACTCGATTCCAGTAACATTAATTATTCACATGTTTTAAGTTCACCACCAATCCAATAAACATGTCTGAAAATATTAAAATTTGGATTCTCGTTTCTTTTTCTCGAGTCAGAGAAGAATAGCATGTGATTTGAAGACCAAGGTGATAAATGATTAATCTTCTCAGAGGCTTATCCCTTACAGATTCAGTAAGAACAAGTTCAACTTACAAGAGCGTGCAAGAACCAATAAGTTCAAGATAAACATTCAAAAACAATGTACAAATATTAAACTGAAGATATGAGCAAGATTACAATGGTTAAAAGTAGGAAGCACTGGATCAAGAGCATCAACTGAGTTATCAACTAATAAGATAAGTCAAATTTAGAAAACGAAAAAAATTAATAATAGTACTGATAATCAGGTGAGTCATTGTGAGAAGAAGATAGAAACACAATTTAAATAAATAGAGAGCAATCAACTATGAAGGAAATAAGCTGTGGAGACGGAAGAAATATATTATATACAAGGATACAATATGGTTTCCGAGGGGATATAGCAAGTAAGTTTAAGAGAGAGAAAATTTGAGGTAATTAAAAAATAAAAGAAGAATTGTCATCTGGAAGCTGTAACTATGTCTCCTTTTAAAGCCAAAGCTGACTACTAAATTTTAGCCGGTTCTTTCCTGGACTAATTTTCGGCCAAAATCAAGATAGGTTGAACCAGTAAAGAACAAAAATCTGCTCACCCTTGAGAACTCCATACAATATTCACGCACAAGCACTCCATCTGGCCTCTTATCTCTTTGTAATTTTTTTTTTTTAAAATAAATATGTAGAGATGCTTGTAAGTTCTCTCTCTACCCCATTTTTTCCTTTCAATTTTCCAGAGTGGATCTGTTTAGCGCCAAAGAGAAGTGTTCAAGCACTTTCCCTCTTGAGGATTATAATCGACTTTGTATAGCTAGATTTTATTTTCAAATTTTTAAGAAAACATACTTGAATATGGACAGACAATCCGGCACCATATGCTAGGAACTAATCACATTGAAAAATTAACAATTATAAAAAGTATCAAGAAATGAAATTAAACTAATATCGGCACATAAAAAATCTGGCGGAGAAAACTTGATCTAAAAGGATAATAAACATGCAAAACAGAACCATGGTAAGAGTAAAATAAGAGGGGGGGGGGGGGGGGGCCCCCCCCCACCTGGTGGGGGGACCTCTCGCAAGCATCTTCGAGGGAAGAGAAAGGGCGCTTGAAGTCAGGATGACAAACCCGCCAGGCGTCCTGGTAAGCCAGCTGCAAAGAGGCCTTGTGCTGCTGTTGCTGGGGATTTTGGGCAGTATTATTATTAGGGTTACTGGAATTAGGGTTTTGGGGGTGAGGCAAATTGGGGATCGAATTAGCATTAGGGATTTGAGATGAAAGAGAATGTTGATGCTGTGGTTGAGGAGAGACATGGGGACGGTGGTGAAGGAGATGGTGCTGAGGTGGGCGCAAATGGGCATCGATATTGGATGGGAATCGAGAAATGGCGTCCTGCTGCTGTTTCTGGCGCTGAAGCTGTTGCAAGAGAAGGAACTGCTGCTGCTGCTGCTGCTGCGCCATTGCCGCCGCCTTAGCGTCATCCATTTTCTCTGTAATTGAGACTTTATGCCATGGTGGATCGTTCAAAATTTCGGGGATATCGGTGGAAACAAATAGAATGATAAGTCATAAAAGTTAGATACTAAAATGATTTTAGAGCCACGTTGTTATAATGAGAATGAAAATAAGAAATAGAGCTGTAATGGGCTTCAAATCAGAGATAGAAATTCAAAAATGGTGATCATATTTTTTATTTTAATGAGGTAAAAATGTGGCGCAAACAGGGGCTAAATTTCAATTTGGTAACGAATAATTATTTACTTGTGTATTTTTTTGCCTTTCCAAAATTTGACCCCCTAACTAATTTAGGAGTGGGCATGGTGCAGGTAATTATAAATTGAAGTTTTCGACTTCTTGATTTCGGACCCGAATGGGTTAAAATATGAGCATAAAATTGAACAATCGTGCTATAGTAATCCTAATCAATGATCGCGAGGTTGACACACCACGAGTCGGGATTATTTTATTCATGGAAGACCCACGTCGGCCATGTGAGGATGCGGTCACTCGGAGTGTCAACGGCGCGGATCATTTGACTTTTTCCAAAATTGAAATAGATGTTTGGGTTCGTCAGTTTTATCGATTTATCGATCTAAATGCCCACCATATAATCTCTAGACAACAAATTGAATTTCACAATTTCGTCTAATTGTCGAACTTGTCCGCCAAGGAATTCGTGAAATTTCTATGAATGGCATTGGAGAAAATTTTCCAAATCTGGACAGATTGAGAAACTTTTTCTTGCCGCTAGGTGCTAAGAGATTTTGTTTTTATTTTTTAATATTTAATCACTCTTTTTTTTTTTTTCGTGGTTGCGTGATTTAATTAAAAAAAAAAGTCCATGAAATTAAATGATAGGGATCAATTTACAAATCAACCCTGCTACATGAACATGTTCAATGACAAAATTTAAACGGAGGATGTCATTTTTTCACTTGATATTTAGAAAAAAAGAAAGGCAATCAAACGTGTGTGCCACACAACACTTGTCACCCAGCCCTATCAATTTCCCTTTTTGAGTAACATTATTCATCACAAATACCCTTAAAAAGCTAAATATCTCATACTTACTTTTAATTATTTTATTTATTCTGTCCAAACAAAAGGGAAATGCGCATTTGCTTGAAACAGTTCACAAAATAACTATTTTACGCCTTTGAATACGTATAGAACATTTGATTATGCCTCGTTGTGTATCTTGATTAATTGGATTGTTTCTTTTTGGATTGCTATACAAAGCTTTTTGTAAATTTATCTCCGAGTATTCCTTGATAATTTTATCCAAGAAGAAAATTTCCTCTAATTCTACTAACTTTTCTAGAGCACTCTTTTCTTGAATATCGTTGAAAAAATTTCATATTGCTTAGTATCCTACTAATTAGTAACTCGAGTGTTACGCATTTTCTATACCGTTTAAATATACCACAAATATACAGTAACAAATTTTGTAATATAAGAATAAGTAGGGATTTCGAATTCACGGGGATTGATCTTTAATTTCTGCTAAGTACCATAATTATTTTAGCCTCTATTTTATCTCGACAATCAAATTGTAAATCAATGTGGTGGTGGATTCAACTAAATCAATGCTACGAGAGATTTTTCAAAGTGAGAAAGCATAGGGAATGATTTTATCGTACTATCAACAATGTTTCTCAAATTTTATATTTATTTCTATCAAATTTTCCTAAGTTTATAGGCAAGAACCTAGAATTAATTCTCTTCCCTCTTACGAGTGCTAAATATCTCTATTCCGAAATAAATTTTAGAAATTATCAAGTACGTTGTTCTTAGATAATATAAGCCTAAAAAAATCCATACTTTCTCTTAAAATCTATAAAATTTGTGTTGCGCTATTCTTAAATCACGTATAAATTATCTTTTCTCAAGTGCCGAAATTTCAAACATCAAATCATTCAATTATTGATCGAATAATTGAAAGCAATGAGGAAGAATCACCAAAATAAACTCATAGAAAAACTAAAAGACATGACAATATTAAAATCCAAACATGTCTCAAATCAGGTTACATCAAACCCTAGTTCTAGAATTTAGTTCGTGAATAAGAGAAGAGACATAATCCAATCTAATATTAAGAACATGCGGAGAAAAGAATGAGAAAAACTAAAGTGGAGCTTGAATTATGCTCCTTGATGTTGTCGTTCTTTCTCTAAATTAATCTCTTGTTCCTTACTTCTTGTGTCATTTAATCACCGTTGGAAGTCGCTGTTAAGGTTGTATTTATAAACTTTTCTAGTCTTGGAGAAGTTAGAAATGGATTAGGCTTAAACGGAATCCAAAAAATTTTAAAACTCTCTGAGTGAGGCCCATGCTTCATAGTGCCGCAACACTGTAACATATTTCTATACGGCGTTGGGACGTCAAATCTCTGTTGTTTCTGGTCGTGGCTGGCTTTGGAGTGCTATGTGGCTAGTGCACACTGTTGGTTCTTCGAAACCATGGTGTTGCGGCGCCATTGTGATTGTCCACTCTCTCTCCCGAGCCATGGCGCTATGGCACCACTTTCCACCTTTGATTTTTTTTGCTTTTATTCCTTCTTCTTCAACTTTGCTTCTTTTCCTTCCTTTTCTCCAGTACTCTTTGGTTCCTTTAAGCCTCAACTTTCACCATTTACACACCTATCAACTTTAGCTCATTTTAAAGCTTCAAACTTGTCGTTTTCTCCAAGTTATTTGACTCATAAAACAACACGAACACATATATTAAAACATTCTAAATTCCTCAAAGACAAAAAAATCTTGAGTTTTAGTGGTATTAAACAATGAGTGTAAAACACTCATCATCAAGATAACGCAAATACTGCCTTTTTTATAATTATTTTACAATAAAATTTGTAACATAATATATTACTTTTTGTAAAATTATGTTACACATATTTAACCTCCCTCATTTTTCAAATTTCACGACTTTTGTTGTTGCTACCATCACTTGTAACACAATTTATTAGACAATTTTGTCACCAATTTCCACCATCATTGTAGGTGCCTACACCATCATCAAACTCACCATTGCTATACAACCACCATCAAACTCACCATTCGTAATATATATTGTTCCGCTACCACCATAATCACTATCACATTCCGCTATAAACACAACTGCCATCAACAACCGTATTCTCCCACCACCACCATCACCACCATCAAGACCACCTCCACGACAAAAAACCATCACCATCATGTCACCTTTGTGACCACCACGAGACCATCGCCTCTAAAACTCTCAGATCATGAAAAGAAAAGAATCTAACGCGAAAATCGAGCAATTTCAAATTTTTTCTCAGATATGATATTATATCCGATTTCAGATTTGAAACTAGAAGATATGGTGGCAACAGGACCAGGGAGGACACCGCCACTGCTGAAAAGCTCCCTACATCTTCAACACCAATATTGATAGGTTTACTTCGTTAGTTTTTGTCTTGACCTTTGGTGGTCGAAATTTTTCAGCAAGATGAAGATGAAGATGAAAATGAAGATGGTAGGAAAGTGGTTGATGTTGGAGGAACAATAGAAATGTTAAGTGCTGCGAAGCTACTTGTTGGCTCCGCTCGAGCTCGAAGCGAGTCGCGGGGGTGAGCCTAGTGGCTCACATAGTTGTGCAGTTTTTCGTAGCTTAAAATCTGCATTTGATGGCACCTTGCTATTAGGCGGGCAATTCAAATTTGATTATTTGTTTTTTGGTTTAAGACTATAAATAGGGACTAAGTAGTTAATCAATTTCGTCACATTTCAACATTCTTTACAATGCTAATATATCACTCTCATCTCTTTAGTAGTAATTTTGCAATAATTATATTGAAACTCCAATTTTTTTCTTTTCCAACTTTTCATGTACTAATTATTTCTATTAGTTGTAATTTTCATTCCTAAATTTTCTATCAAATTCGTTATGAATTATACTTAGATTCATGAACACGATTAAGATGTTAATCAATTATTCGATAGTTCTAATACTCTCATCTATGTTTTTCCTCAAGCCCATGATAATGCAAATTCGAAAGCATCGGTACCAATTGACTGACAATCATTGAACCTGATTATAATTGGAAGGAAGCGGTATCTACAAAGAGAATAAGAACATGTTTGGGAGGGATTTTTTACTCAAAAAAATTGATTTTTTGACTGTTATTTCACTATTTCATCTGTAATTTTTGACTTCTTCTCTCACAGGTGGTCCTCATTTTTTTTCTAATGATCAAAAAATCAATTCTCAAAATCTCTCCCAAACGGGGCTTAAATAAGGTAAAGGAAGCAGTTTACCGAACATTTATGGTTTTTTTTTTTTTTAATAATTCATTTTCCTGGTTTAGTACGTTAGGAGAAATTTTCCCTACGTTAACGACTTCGTCTTTGTGTTTTTATTGACGGAGTGCTGTTAGTAATAGGATGAATATATAAAATATGAGTGCTCTATCTGTAAAAATAAAATTCACTGAACCCCAAAAATGATTTTTAACCACAATAGTCATTGATTGAAAATGTACTCACATTTGGACCAAAAAAAATTAAGAATCAAGCCCATGAGTTTAAAATTTTAATTTAAATCAAAGTCAATAACAAGTTTAAATTACATATTTTATGCATCCATAATTTTTTAACCATACATCTCATCAACTTTTATTAAAATCTATTAAAAATTTAATTTTAATTCTCACTAAACAGAGACTAAGAATAATGTTATTTGTACATAATTAAGTTATGCAATAGTTTAAATACAAATGAAGAAAGAGAGTGAATTTTTTTTATTTGAATGATGAAATTTTGAGCCAATCATATCTCATGAAATCACGTGTGCGCAATCCTTTGCAGGTAGATTTGAAGGGTTAATTTCACAAATGGCCATTGAACTTATCTAAATATCTCAAAACGGTCACTGAAGTTTAAAACTTACAGAGACGGTCACTCAACTTACGGATGCTTTCACTAACGGTCACTGAAGGACCTTTATGATTTTAATTCAAACTTAAAGGATCAAAACACTTGAAGATAAAACCTTGAAGACCAAACCGCTCTAACCAAAAATTGCCAAATTCCTCCCACCACCACCATATTTCACCAGCGCCGAAAATTAACAAATTCGACAACCAGACCACCGGATTTACCATCGGATTTTTACACCACCAACACATCCTCATCCCTCTCCATAATATTATACCAAAAATTAACCAAAACACATCAAAAGTCAAATGAAATTCAAGTTAAAAAAACCATCCATACCGTCGGAAATTGCCTCTAATCCGGCCAACCCATCATCACCCATGCCAAAACTCCATCACAGGCTGTTAGTATTCCCCAAGACGAACAGGTACATGGTCCATACCATTATAAAACAATTTAAATCAAAATCTAACTCTACCAGTTCTCCGACAATGACAACGAACTTTCTACCCTAATTTTCGGCGCTGGCGAAAACAATTATGGTCGCGCACCACCACCATTACCTTCTACTCATCATGCCGAACAAGATGCATATATGGGTCCTCATCAATTTATCTCGAATTGCCCGGAATTGGAGGCAATTTTCGGCGGTATGGATGATTTTTTGAACTTGAATTTCATTTGATTTTTGATGTATTTTGGTTGATTGTTGGTATAGGATTGTGGAGAGGGATGAGGAGGTGTTGGTGGTGTAAAAATTCGGTGGTTATCGAACTGTATGGAGGTCGACTTTTGAGATTTCTGGCGCCGGCTCCATATGTGTAGGTGGGTGGGAAAATGGTGGATTTCTAAATTTTAGGGGTAGATTTTGAGCAAATGAAATTAGATGAAATTTACACTTGAGGTCCTCAAGGATCCAATTCACGTGTTTTGGTCCTTTAGTGACCGTTAGTGAAAGCATCTGTAAGTTGAGTGACCGTCTCTACAAGTTTTAAACTTCAATGACCGTTTTAAGATTTTTAGGTAAGTTCAATGACCGTTTGTGAAATTAACCCTAGATTAAATGGTCCAGTTGAAACCCACCGAGTCAACTCAATGGCTCGAGTTCAACCTCCAATATTACCCGAAATTCATAGTGTCCAATTTCCGACCCGAACCGAAACCTAAACCTAGAACCAACCGGTACCTTCATTTTCGCCTGAATGATGATTTGATTCATTCTGCTTCACTCTTTGTGGCTAATTGTTTCAGCTTCCCTCCGAACAAATCTTTCTCAAGTAAGTTGTTTGTCCTTTTTTCATTAATAAGCACTTTCCTTTTTTGTTCTATAATCGAAATAACTCTGTTAAGCCTTCTATATATTCTTTTATGTTAGTGTTTAATTTGTTGGATAACCTATTGTCTGATTTTGAAGATTTCCGTTATTGATTTTTTTTTCTCCCTTTGCTGGAATATTTTGATTAACTATTGTTTTAAAGGAACGAGATTAATGTCGAGAATTAATTTTGGTTACTGCTGAATTAAAGTTTGTACAGCATTTTAATGCTTCTAAGTCAATTACGGGGCTATAAGTTTCTTTGAAAAATATCCCCTTTATCATTTCCAATTTTACAAGTTTCCATAAAGGACTATCTAAATTGATTCGTTCCTGCCAATAAGCTCCAATTGCAATTTTAGTTTATCCGTTAAGCCAGCCGGAATGCGCAATATTGTTCTGCATGACATAGTTGATTTTAACCTGATCGTCACTCTGTATGCAGGTAGTATTCTTTCAAGTTTGAAAGATGGACGACTATCAGGAAATGGAAAGATTTGGTATGGAGAACGATTATGATGATGGTCAGTGGATTGGTGGTGAATTTTATGGCAAGCGCAAAAAGAAAGCTACTCAGACCAAAGATGACATCCTCTATGGTGTATTTGCCTCCGGCGACAGCGACTCCGACTCCTATGAAGGGTCGGGCTCAAAGAAGCGGAGGAAAGATCTATCCAAGAAGCCCAACTTCGCCAAGCCGGTCAGTTTCGTTTCCACTGGCACCGTCTTGCCCAATCAGGAGATTGATCACAATTCCTTGGAGGAGAATAAAGTGATCGAGGAAGATGTCGTGAGACCTGCAGGTTTGGGTCTTGGATCTACTGCTGGCCTGGGATTTGACTCTGCCACTTCAAAGAATGCTATGGATGATGGGGTATATACTCAGGCGGACCGGGAAGAAGAAGAAGATTTCCTGCCCACTGCTTTTGGAAAGAAGATCATGGAAGGTGCCCAACTGCGACGAGAAAAAGAAAAAGAGAAGTCCAGGCTAGCCAAGAAGTCTTCTCTAGCAGGAAGGAAAGAATTGGAGCCGGGAGATGTAGGTTCATTTGAAAAGCATACCAAGGGAATTGGGATGAGATTGCTTGAAAAGATGGGCTACAAAGGAGGTGGCCTTGGTAAAAATGAGCAGGGAATTGTAGCTCCCATTGAGGCTAAGTTGCGCCCTAAGAATATGGGGATGGGTTTCAATGACTATAAAGAGGCTAGTCTGCCAGCATCGCAGGAACCAGAGCAAAAATCCTTGCCTCATTCCACTCAACCTACAGAGGGTGCTGCAAAAGGGAAGCTTTGGTCAAAGCAAGCTCATATGAAGAAGAAGGTTTATGTGACAGCTGAAGAACTACTGGCCAAGAAGCAAGAGCAGGGTCTTGAAGTTGTTCAGAAGGTTTTTGACATGAGAGGACCACAGGTTCGTATAGTGACAAATTTGGAGCACTTGAATGTTGAAGAAAAATCCCGGGAAAATGATGTTCCCATGCCTGAGCTCCAACATAATGTCAGATTGATTGTTGATTTAGCTGAGCTTGACATACAGAAGCTAGATAGAGATCTGAGGAATGAGAGGGAGACTGTGGTTGCTTTGCAGAAGGAAAAAGAGAAACTGCAAACTGAGGTGCATCACCAAAAGAAACAACTTGATAGCATGGAAGAGGTAGTGCGTGTATTGGACCGAATAGGCGAGGAGAGCTCATCTGGGACACTGACATTAGACTCCCTTGCTAAATCATTTGCTGACTTGCAGAGGAGATTTGCTGCTGATTATACATTATGCAACTTATCCTGTATTGCATGCTCTTACGCGCTGCCGTTGTTTATTAGAATATTTCAGGGATGGGACCCCCTTCAGAATCCAACACATGGAGTTGAGGTGGTATCCCTGTGGAAGAACTTGTTGCAAGGAAAAGACTCCAACAGTTTTTCTGATATTGCATCACCTTATACTCAGCTTCTCATGGAAGTTGTCTTCCCTGCTGTGAGGATATCTGGCACCAACACTTGGCAAGCAAGGGACTCGGAGCCCATGCTTAGGTTTTTGGAGTCTTGGGAAGAACTACTTCCTCCTCTTGTCTTACAAACAATACTGGATAACATTATCATGCCAAAGTTGTCAGCTGCTGTAGACTCATGGGATCCACGTAGAGAAACCATCCCAATCCATTCTTGGATTCATCCATGGTTACCTTTATTGGGGCAGAAACTGGAGAATTGTTATCACACCATACGAAGCAGGTTGGCTAGTGTTCTTCATGCTTGGCACCCGAGTGATAAGTCTGCATACTATATATTGTCCCCTTGGAAGTCTGTGTTTGATCCAACCAGCTGGGAGCAACTGATGGTTCGATACATAGTTCCCAAGTTATTAGCTGTCATGCATGAGTTTCAAATAAACCCTGCGAATCAGAACCTTGATCAGTTCTACTGGGTTCTAAACTGGGCAACTGCCATTCCTACTCATCACATGCTGCAGTTAATGGATATTTTCTTCAACAAATGGCAAGAAGTCTTGTACCATTGGCTACGTTCAAACCCAAACTTTGAAGAAGTTACCAAATGGTATTTAGGTTGGAAGGAACTTCTTCCACCAGAACTTCAGGCGAATGAGCATGTTCGATATAGACTTAATCTTGGTCTGGACATGATGAACCAGGCTGTGGAAGGCATGGAGGTGTCACAACCTGGTCTGATAGAGAACATGAGTTATCTAAGGGTGCGTGAACAGAGGCAATTTGAGACTCAGAAAAAAGCAGCTGTTCAAGCTCAACAATGGGCCTATACAAATATGGGTAGTGGAATTCAAAAAGAGGGTCTGAGCTTGAAAGAAGTTATTGAATTTCATGCTCAGCAAAATGGTTTACTGTTCAAGCCTAAACCTGGCAGAACACAAGATGGGCATCAAATTTATGGCTTTGGTAACATAAGCATAATAGTCGACTCCATCAATCAAAAGGTATTTGCACAAACTGAGGACAAATGGTCTCTGGTATCCCTTGAGCAGCTGCTGGAGCTGCACAATCGTTCTATTTTGAAGCGACGCTGAGCCTCCAAGTAATTGAGAGTAATTTTGGCATTGAAAGGAAGTGGGAGTAACATAAGTTTGTTGTTAGGCTGCAGGTTTCTTGATTATGTAGATCTTTTTCACGAATGCAAGTCATCTGAACCTAGGATATTATTTTGCCATTTAGCTGCTCCTTTCGGTTAAAGATTTTTGTATTTGAATACTTAAGGATGAATTTGATACTCTGAAATTGAAAAATCAAGTTTGACCTAAATATTTGTTTTTTTTTCCCCCTAGATTTATAAATCTAATGGATGGGGTTGTCAGCGATGTTCGTTTACTGTGTCGTTACATAATACTGCAATGTGTAATTTGATCATCTTTTTTCTGATATTATGAAGGTTACTAGCGTAGGGTGGTTGTTTTGATGATTGAAGTTTGCTCGCAGTATAGCATTCTGTAGAGAAAGTCAACTATGTGTTTGGTATTTTGAGTTCGATTGCCTTACGAATCTACTACGAATGAGGCTTGATGTCAAGTCACGACAACTAGTAACGACCCGGTAGCAACTGTTCAATTTTCCCAGTTTCTATCTTCATTCCGTATCCTGTAAACTAGTTTCTACTAATAACTCCGTTTTGTCCATTTGAGAGGCACTACAGTTTTCATGTTTTTGCTTCTATGTATCGCAGAATTTGCTAAAATCTCTCTTTCTTTCTCACACACAATGAAACAATATAAAGAAGATAGATATCTTAGTGTTGGCTTTATATTACAATCTTATAGCGTCACTCACTTGATAAGTTTGGTGGCAACTTTATAGAGGTAAATCTCTCAAGGTTGTATGCTATCCGATAGAGTAACTTGATATGTTTCAAGTGCTGTTGCCAGGAAAAATTGGGGTTTGGTTCCAGGGTTCGTGAATCCAAACCAAATTTGGGGAAGTAATCCTTTGTAATTGGTTTAATCATGAAAGTAAATGGGGAGGAACCTAGTGTTCTGAATGGCCCACATGGGGTAAAGAAAGGGGAGATGCTCAAGAAGAGAATATTTTCAACCGCTGCTTCATAAGCAAGATGCCCAAGAACAGAATGTTATACGAAATTGCATAAAATACGAACTTTGGTTTCCCTTAAATATTCTTGGTTGCACTATGGAATTCTGAGGAGCTGTGGAAGAAGTGTTTATCCATGCAAAAACTGAGTCTGATAATTAAATTAACCCAGATGTGGAGATGCTATATGGACTTGGTATCTTGTGTTTCTATCACCCCTTTCCTTTCCTTGATTAGATAGCGCAGGAGTAGATTTTATTCAATTTTATTTTGAATTTAGAGACGCTTGTAGGTTAAGCAAAGTTGACAGAAGGGGGACACCAAAGCGTCTCATCTTGCAAATGAAAGCAGCAGTAGATATTAAATATTTATAAAGACAACCCTCGTCTTCCTTTCCTTTGTTCTGCTGTTAGATTCGTCTTTGGCATCCCTAAAGTCAAGGTTTTTAAAAAGAAGGATACTCCGGTCATCCAAATGGCAACTCTCAGAGGCCTGCACGATTCCACTACTCCTCATCCCTGAACAGCCTTGAGATCAACACCTGCCCGATTTTCTGTTGATAAGCACAACAAGAAAGGGTATTTTCTTCGCTTTTCCCTTTCTTTGCTTTTAATTTTCCCGTTGGTAACTACACTATATTTTCTGTCAATGTGCACTTTGTGTTTAATTGGACATGGTCTATTATTTTAGGGCATTATAAAATTCATTTCACTCTACTTTCCTCTCTCTTAATTAATAGTGCCTGTTTTATAGTTGATGGTTTTTCTGTCCTTATTAACCCTATCAACTAATGCATATTAATTTTCATCTCACATTGAGAAGTCAGATTATTGCATGATTTACTTGAGAATTCTACGAAATGAAGAAACAAGTCTCATCTCAGATAAGTGCACAGTTATTTGAGAATACAACAAAACGAAGAAACAATTATAATCCCCTCTGGGAAATCTTGTATCTTTTCATAGTAAAACACTTCACCTGGGTGTTACTATGAGCAGATTGGTATTGTATTGGAGAAAAAACATTAGTCTTTCTGCGAACACGCTATTATGAGCAAATTGGTATTATCCAACATGGTCTTAGTCAAGATTAGTTATCTTTTCTCAAGTCTTCTTTAGCAGTTTTGAATGCCCATGTCCTTTCAGAATACATTGCTTGAGTTGGCAAGTGTAATATGCATCATCTTAAACTTGTTACGGATCCCTGATAGAAGTAACCTTCTTAAGTGAATTTTTGGGTAAAGCCATGGAAGAAAGTAACTACAGGATTTCAAGCATGTAAGAAATGTAGCCTCTTTTACCTCCTCAGATCTGGGTGTAAAAAAGGGTATTTACCCAACCGTTTGTCATTTTTTGCTGTTGCTCAATAGAATCAATTGCCACCTCAAGTTATAATTCTTGGGATAATGATGTCAGTAAATGAACAGCACATGATCTGGTCTCCATGAGAAGCTCAAGTACATTCTGATGAAATGATATAAATCACATCATACCACTGTATGTGTGCATCCTAAAATGAGGCATTCTGGCAAGCTATATTACTATGGGTAATGTTTAGCTTGAGGAAAAATGATTTACTTGTTTGTATGGCATCCTGTTTATCTTTTGAGATGGTGGACACTGTGATTTCTGTTTGGCGTGCACGATGCATGCTGTTTTTCGGCATAAATTTCTGACAGGTTAGGCTCATGGTTGATAATAAACTGGAAAAATCTTGTAGAAGCTTGTTATAGTAGAAAAATTGGTTTACTTGTTTGTGTCACGTCCTCCGTGCCCTATGATGGACATTGTATTTTGAGTTTTGTGTGCATCGTTTATTTTTCAGTGTTAATTTCAGAATGCCTAGTACTCTACTTAGATTGTGCTTGTGTTTTGATTGCTTGGTGTAGAAATCGAATAAGCAGGGTTCAGGATGGCTTATGATCCTGTTGTTCACATCAAGCTGTTCAGATGATCCAGGAGAGATCTAACTCCTTATTTGCTTATGAACTTTTAACGAGATAGTGACGTAGGATGCAACAAAAATGAACAAGACTAAGAGGAGGAAGAGGAAGAGAGAGGAGAGAATTTAGAGGGAGGAAATATAAGTTTTTATTCAATATCAAAGTGTATATTAAAATGAATAAGCCATCTTTATATAGGGTCTACCAAACCTAATTTGCGAAGTGAACAAAGTAAATAAACCCCAAATTTAGTCAAAGTAGAAAATCTATCAAACAATAACTTAATTCGAGTCAAACTAGAAAACTATAATAAACTAATATAAATTAAACTATCTTTATTCCCCATCAGATAGTTCATGCAAATTCTGAGGTATGTATTTTCGGACTTGGTATTTATTCTATAGCTGTTGATATAACATGGATATAGAAAGGTTAAGGACTCCATTTTCAGTACATGAACTTTCTTTCCAATATGTAAAATTGTTTTTGTGTAGTATACATATTGTTTTAGGAACTTTGAGATTTTTCTCGTCTTTTTGGTAGTTTCAACACGTACAACTTCTCAACTTGACAAATTATTGTTTTGAATAGTGTGTTATAGGGAAGGGTTTTCCAGTTTTTTTGTTAAATTAGATATAAGACAACTTCTTGTTTGAAATAACAGTTGTTACCAAACAAGAGATATTTATGGGTTTCTTGGTATAGATATTTGATGTGTGTTTTCTCCCAAATTATCAGATAATATTACGAATCTAAGAAATAATATCTTTACTTGGCATTTATGATTTTTGACAATGCCCACCAATGGTCGGACATGTATGTACCTGGCCGCCTGCTGGGGGTAGTTCTGTTGTAGAGAAAGAGATGATTGGATTGCCATGGATGGTCATCAAATGATGTTAGAAACTTTAGCTCCATCTTCAGCTTCATGTTGGTGTATTCTCTTCGAAAAATCCAAATAAATAACTGGCATTTGTCCATTTACAGGATAACGTTTCGATCTAGAGCCTCGGTGTCAATGCATGGACTAATATTATCCTGGTAAATTATCTATGCTCTTTTTCGTTGAATGTTTCCTGATGTTTTGATCATATTATATTATTCTTTCTAACGATTGATATCTACTCTTGAAGTTTGTTTGGGTCTCATAGTTTTCAACTTTTATTCCTTGCACTGTTGACACAAAACTTGGAACAGTTAATTCCAGCAGATGTGTCTAATATTGTTCGCGTGCTTACTCTGCTCTGGTTTAATAGGTTATTCTACTTCTGCTGAAGGTCAACAGAGAAGGAAAGAAGAGAATTCAAGGGTGATGTGCTAAAGAATCACGACGATGGTTTCCACTTGAATAATTTGGAGTCGGATCTCTTCACTGTGCAAAAAACGGCATATACCAGCTCCCCTAACTGTGACAGAGTAAGTTCGAGATGGAAATTCTTGGTCGTTTTATTCTATTTGTGCTTTCATTTAACAAAAAGAAAATCATTCATGCGTCAAAAAGTAAAAATAAAATACTATTTGTAGTCACCGGGATTCTGAATAAATATTGTTGTCCAACATTGTAATCAATATTCAGTTATTATCGTAATTTACATACTGAAAAATCTCACCAAAAAGGTACCCCTAAATAGCATTACACATATACAAAGTAACCTCTATGTATATGATAATTTATGGGATCTTCAAGTACCTATTTCATTTCTCTCATCAGAAAAAATACAAACAGTGAGATTTCTACTGCCGTTTCTTTAAATTTAAAAGTAATATATACACAATGAAATTGGTATACTGTTTAGAATGTGTGTGAGACATAGTCCTCATAATCAAAATTTAAGCAGCATGGCATCTAATCTTCTCTTCCTTGCAGCATGTTTTAATTTCTCAAGAGCAACCAATCCCACCTGCCGAACTCTCTCCCTCGACAAACCAATCCTGAATTTCATGAAAATAATACAAAAATAGATATTAACTACATAATTATAATATTATACGAACTTCATTATCAAGTATCGATGGATCAAATGTCATTCGAAAACAGTAGGCCTCACCTTCTGCTGATATCTTCCCATGTGAGACATTCATTGTCCAGACCATAGTAAAGACGGATAATCTCTTGCTCTCGCTCCCTTAGAGTTGAACTAAGGAGCTTATCTACTTCATCCTGCAAAACGATTTATAAGTATAATCTCAGGGGATTTACTTTGAAAACGTAATCAAGTAACATCACCAGCAATCAAATAATTGGAAAGGCTTATAGATAAAAAACGCATTAAGATATATATGTAGTTCTTCACTAAAAGTCTCCCCTGTTGCATATTCTGTTACCCAAAATCAGGTTTGATGAAGTACCTTAAGAGCCCATTCATCAACTTCATGCCATGGGTTATTCTCTATGCGAGTATCAGCAATGTACTGCCAATAAGGAAAGGAACATGTAGATTATACCAACATAAAAGATAATAATGAATGAAATAACAAATTCTTTTCCTTACACTGTGAAGTGTTTCTCCCGGAAGACCATTTAACGAGGGGAATGCTTCCCTGTCGAGTGAGAATACCTTGCTGATAGCCTGGAAACATAAATGTTCAATAATCATTTGGATGAAAAGCATTATCTATTGGACTAATAGATATCCTGATAGATATTCAGTACCTCAGTGGCATTCCTGACTTTTTTCTGTGACATGTTTAGACATTCAGCAATTCTCTGGAGCATCAAATAGAACATGAGAAGTCGAATATAAATTCATAATCAATCACCGGATTAAACTGTCTTTTATTTTTCAGGTTGAAGATCTGAGAACATTTAAAAGGAAAAGCCATGAATCAAAGTCAACTCTAAGAGATTAGATAAGACTTACATCAACTGATGGAGTAATTCCTTTCTCTTCCAGTTTGGCCTTTGCATTTCGAATCAAACTTAGTCTTTCGTGTAGATGGGTAGGCAATCTTAAGGTTCTTGAATTCCTCACTAAAGCTCTTGAAACACCCTGGAAATTAGCGATGGAAATGGTACTGTCAGGCCCTCACAAGTTTACTTCATTTTTCCTGTGTAAGAGGCTTAATAAACCGAATACTTGTATCACCTACTATTACCGTCAATGAAAGTGGCTATGAGCTTAACAGGCTTGACTCTTATTCTGAAACCCGACTTACTTAATAGGATTAATAATTTCTGTGCAACCTAAAATTCTTTCAAAACTCAATTGAAATTAGATATTTAGACATCTCCAAAACTTTATATTTCTTGATATATATAAAACATAGAAGATTTTGACTAGTGTAAGCTAGGTAAATCAGAAGTCATCAAACGAGGTAGAATGAAGCCATAAGTTAAAGAAAAAGTGAAGACAACCCAGATGGTTGGGACATATCTTGCATAACTATAAAAAGTTTCTCTTTCACTAAGGCGATGCTAGAATCACTATTCAAATGGGTCTGGCGTGGTTGCAAAAGATTTGATTTCTTTAGACATTCAAGATGAGTAAATTGAATGGAATTGTGAAGAATGATTTGTGTACTTGACAAAAATTTATTTGAAGTAAAGCTTCGCTTGTTATTGCAAGATATTAGTAGATTCTTCCCAATTACAGAGTACTTATTATCTCCTTCATCTAGTAAGCTCATAGGATGTGATTTTCTTTCATTATTCAGAAGCCTAAATGTTAAGTTTTTCTATGTTCGTTGACGGAAAATGGAAATAGTTTTAAAGCTAACTCTTCCCTCAAGATATAAATTATGCAAAGAGCTAAGACAAACACTGCAGCATGCTCATTTGTGGCTCTCACCTGTCGAATCCACCAATAAACATAAGTTGAGATCTTATATCCCTTCGAAGAATCAAATTTCTCAATTCCTCTGAGTAATCCAATCAAACCGCCCTGCAAAAAAATCGAAGAAACCTCACATTTGTGCTGCTTACAAATGCAAGAGCACGGGACTTTTATCAGTCAGAAAATGGCGGAGAACATTAATTCACCTGAATAAGGTCTGCCATTTCCGCACCCATGTTATCATATCTTTGAGCAATAGACATGACAAGACGAATGTTGCTCATTGTCAGCTTCTCTCTTGCCAATGAGCACTCCATGAATTCTGACTGTAATTCAGCCCGACTAATTCTCAGGGAAGTCGCAAGTTGCTCATCTGAGGGATCACATCCCAATCTCTCCTTCAATCTACAATTTCAATATCAGTAAAACCAAGTGAAACACAATCGTGGTGGATAATAATAGTGTAACTGAAACTAGTTGGTTCGGGTGCTAAATGGTAAACTAATCTAACAATTTAGAAGAGGGTATTCCTCTTCCTAAGGAACTAAATCAACATTTAGCTACCATTTAATTGAGAAATTCTTCAATTACCTTGATTTGTGCTCTTCCAATAACAGACCAGCTTTAATTTTTTTGGATAGTTGAACTACTTCCACATGGGTGAGTAATTCTTCACTTACAACACCCTTTATATAGCCTTTTGTACGATTCTGAAGAAGCTCTGGACTGATAACCGACCTTAACTGCTTACTTTTACCAATTTGCGCAGTAGTCGAACTTCTCCTGAAGATAAGTTTTCTTCGAGAATCAATTCTCCTCCGTCTAGCAGATGTCCCAGAACCAGTAACCTGCACTTTCTTCCGGCCTTTCTCACTCGGCATGTCAGTTGAAAGATTCCATTGCTTTTCAAGCATAAACTTCTGCAGTAAAAGGAGAGCATCCACCAAGTAATCAGGGTCGGAGGTTTCTTCTCCCTGAGGCAGTGGCTCCTCCACAGCATAAGGATTAGAGGCAGTGTCTACATGCTCTTTAACTGCCCTGATAGATTGTGGATTTCGATCCGAAAGAAAAGTTGGGCCATAATTTGATGACTTTTTAGCTGTAATCACATTCTTTGTTGAAGGAAGAACCTGATGCTGATAACTGGTTCCGGCAAGCTTTTCAACGAAATCGGAGTAGTAGAAGTTAGAACTGAGGAGCCTTTTACCAGTGCTAAGTCCAATTACTGCAGTAGTGGCCATCATCAGGCTTCCCTGATCAAATCACAACGTTTATATCATATAAATTGGATTCAATTGTGTCGGTTTCTCCTTTCTTGATAACTCAGCGCTACGATTCTGTTTCACATTCATAAATACAAATCAGATGTTACAAATGAATTGGATTCAGAAGCTCGAAACCAAGAAAAACTGGGCGATACTTACAATGAAATCAAGAAAAATTCAGTCTTGAAACAATCGACGATCCACTATAACAAAACCAGGTCATCTTATATTATATATAGTATATTACGACATTCTAATTACTGAAAAGGGATTCGGAAGAAGAAGTAGAAGTAGAATGGGACATGCTGCTTACCTCTCTTGTGCAAAAATTCAGGTTGGGTTTGCTGGGTTTATGTCACAGCTGAAATCAACCAATTTTTCTTCGTACTTCTTTTGATCTTTTTCCAGTTTATTTAGTTTTATTATGCCATATAATTTGAGTAGAAGAAAAATAAAAAAACAAGTGGAGGATAATATAGTTGAGCAGTGAAGATATGGGAGGGACAGTCAAGCAATAGTGATTGGTTAATTTTAGATATTGTGGTGCTTCTTGTGGTGCACACACTTACAAGTTTCCCGATAGATTTTATATCTCATGTCATGTTTCTAACAAGTTCCCACATGACAAAAATTTCTCGATTATCTTGAGACGAGGTTTCTATTTAAACAAATAAAAAGACGTCAATACAGTACACTGTAAACGAAACTATTTCAAAAATGACACATTTTCATGTAATTTGATAACAAAAACTAACGTATCGAACTGTCGAAAGTTCAGTAAAAGAACAACGCACTCGAACTAAATTNAGAACAGAACCAAAGGCTAATAGACCGTTCAAATTGTTAGATAGTATTGCAATGACAGGGTAGGAGTCAAAAGTTCCCAACTCGATCGTGATGGAGCCTAATTCGGAGTGACTTGGTTTTAGTTTTTATCGAATGACATATTCAAAACTTGTTTATGGTCTTGACATCAGCAAGGGTAGAATGTGTTTGATTGGTGCTCATGATTGTTGCATTATGTTACCTAAAAACGTAAACTACTAGAGAGGAGACAAATTTATTTTAAGCTTGATTCCAACACACCACTCACATCTAACGCATGCACACTTTACGTAAATAGGTGGCGCAAAGGCTTGATCCCAAGACATTTGACTGATTGAATTCATGCTAAACCATCTCATCTAAATTCAGAAGTTTAAGCTGTTGTAAAGGACCAATTTAATTATTAAAATTTTGCCTTCAACATATTAATTGTTCTAGCTATTGTGGCCCTAGTTGATGGTGTTAGTAGGAGAGGAGGCTAGGGTGATTAAGAAGTTTTTATGTTTAATGCACATAAAAAGGCAAAAATTCTTCGAGTTTAGAATAAAGGCATTTTGATTTCTCACATCAATAGTGTGAGCTTTAGGTATAGAGTTCATATAGACTTCGACTCTCCAACTTGAACAGTTAGCTTTTGAGGTATGACTCTCCCAAGATCTATAACAATGATATCAAAGCAGGTCACTGGTTGCAATCACTTGTGCAAAGCCTACCATCGTGGTCATGGGATAGGGAGCATGGTGGATTGCCATGGTTCCCGCTGCAAGGTGTGGGACTTAGATCCACATTGAAAATATAGGATTTAGGTGTTGAGTTTATATAAACTTGGGTTCTCCAAATACAATAGCAAATTTTGTATGACTCTCTTAAAAGTCCATTACAGTTGTCATGGTTCCCATTGCAAAGTATTAAGACTTAGATCCCACATTGAAAATAAGTACTTTGGGATTGGGGTTTATATAGACTTGGCTCTCCAGCTTCAAGAGCTAGTTGTTGAGGTATAGCCCTTCCAAGATTTATAACAAAAGGTCATTTGGGAAGAAGAGTTTATTCTCCATAGAATTGAGGACTCTAGCTTCACTCCATGTAATTTTGGTATCTAGGACATGAATGTTGACCTCAGCATTACAACAAGTATTAGTAGGAAATGCAATGACCTGGTCATTTCCTTGAATGCCTGCAAGGTGGAAATTTTATGGATGGATGGAATGAAAGGGAACATAATCATAACTGTGCGTTATAGAGGGATAAATTTGATGTCTCCAGCAATAGTGACAACAAAATAGGAATAAATTCCCCAGTAAAAGGCACACCTCTCTCTATCCAGTAAAATAGCACGTTGTGCAAGAATATTTTTCTGCACTACACGACCAGCATGCTGCCTCAATTTTTACCCTTATGCC